CCTGTTTCGGAGGCCCACATACTAACAGTAAGGAATTTTTATTAAATACAAACCAGCATCTGCGACTTAATTTAATACAAGTTTCTTTTCAGCTTTAAGATAATTGCAAGCATCTAGATTTTTGCAGTGATTCTACAATTCTGATTACGTTAAATGGCTATCCAAACCCAACACCATTGTTACATTAACACTGCTAAAAGCTCACTGCGAACTACAGAAACAATGGATTTTAACAAAGCCTAATCCCCTGTTTCACCTACTGAGTTTACAGAAAATTATTAAAAGGATGAAAAAACCCACTTCAAAATACCAGTTATTTCTGGAAACAAGAAGCAGATGTTCTCCTCTGTTTGGCTCAGCTGTGCTACAGTACAAGACTGCCTTTGTTATGCTGTCAGCAATAATTTATTTTATTTATTACAGCCATTTTATAATGCCCATCAATGTACTATTTGTGCATGATTTAGATTCACGCAGATCTATTTCTCTAGATATGAGCCGTCAAGAAGCATCACACACACACTCCAAACAGCAGACCTTCTTATAACACAATTGTGCAAATTAGGTTTTTTTCCCCTCTTTCCACTGTATTAATAAAAAGGGAACAGGAAGAGGAGGAGGAGTTAGTATTGCCAAATAAAGTTGAATTAACATTAATCGAGAATTACTGAAACAAGACATAGTACAAAGATAGGAAAATACAAGAGCTTAGAGAATAAAAATAAACCCTGCCCTTTGAAGTCCAATAAAGGCAAAGCTTTTCTGAGCCATGGAAAGGAAATACTGTCTAGAACAAAGTTGTGAAGAACTAAAGGGAGACTATGATGGGAAAAGGATCGATTAAAAAAAAGAAAAGAGCATGCTCATGGGAGGGGAAAAAATTTAATTAAAAAAAAAAAGGGGGGAGAAAAAAAAAAGAAAAAGGAACATGATCATTTGCTACTTCATCCTATCAGCCCCCGAGAGCTTATCTGTGGTAGGCATTAAACCACTCCCCAAAAGACTAACTTCACAGCCTTTGTATGGATCTGATAAGGAATTCTGGGCCTCAAAAAATTAAACCTTTAATGAGAGAGCAGACACGGTGCCATAAACGCTCGTCCTTCCCTCCTACTGCTTTGAACAAATGATTTCCTTCTATTAAAATACTCCCAACTTACTAATTTAACATCCCCACCTGTGACACAAGAACCAGGCAGGATGATGTGTAAGACAAAGGTAAAACTCTGCACAGGAGCAGGGAAATCTATTCCCAACCTGCAAGAACTAGAGGATCTGCATGAATAAATGCTCCCCCATTTAACACCACCCAGACATCAGCATAATCCTGGAAGACAAATGCTGATATTAAAATATTAAACAACTATATGAAATACTATAGTTTAAATATAGGTATGATTTTTTTAAGCGATTAAGTGTCCAATTACTGCAAAGGTTTCCTCCATCTGACAAGAGGGCGCACAGAGCAGAGATGATTTGTTAGGATAATCTGTTATCGGAACTAACATCTGACAGAACCCTGGCAAATTCTGCACTTTCAGGCTGAACCTGAGTGACAGACACAGATTTATGGGCAGTGTCAGCACAGGGTCACAGCCCCTCTATGTCACCAACCAGTCCTGAGTCGTACCCCAGGGGGACTCACATCCCAGGGTGGGAAACCCACTGCGGACACAGGATTCAGCCCACAAGAAAATATTCCAAAACCCCTTCCACAAGAAAGGCCAGCTCGCATCACACCTGCACAGCTTTATGATGTGCTAGGGCAGAGGGAAGAAAGAAATAAACAGAAAGAAAAAACCAAAATTCAAAAGATTTCCCAGACTTGGGCTGTACCGAAGAAAGTTTCTAAATGGGGTAACAGAACAGCAATTACATAAAAATGTATACATCATTAAATGCTCTACAATCTCCAGGAGTTCATCAAAATAATTTCCCCCGCCAAATAAATTAAGGATTATAACACATGAAGTATCTGAGCAACAACCACCAAAAAAATCAAGTGTGTACATGTCTGATATGCATAACTTATACAACTTTAACAATTGGCAAACATTGGAATGTTACCACAACACTGAAAACTTGCCCTAACAGAGATTTTTCCAAACAAAAATATTTGTAGCATCAAGAATTAAAAGTTTTACTCGAGCACGCCATTGCGATAATTCCCCAAAATAAGGAAATTATAAAAATACTTTAATATCTCCCTGCTTAGTTCCTTAGATCTTAGAAATTAAAACACTTTGTCAAGGAAAAAGTCCTAAAAATCCAAATCATATGAATAATGGCACCACTCCTAAGTGAAGTGGATGATTTATCTGTATTTTTCCAGAGCCTGCTGTACAGATGATAGTTATGAGGCACCAGACCACGCTACTAATCAGCACAGCCCCAACCCTGTAATTTGTAATACCCAGGTAAACTGCTCACATAAACTGCAGGATCAGAAATAGGGGAGGGGGTAAAAAGGGACCAAAAGCACTCAAAACTCCTGTGGCTTTGGCTCATCATAAAATACCAATCATGGTCTGGGGAATTTGGGGGGGGTTTCCTGTATAAAAACGCAGTCAAAGTGCAGGAGCAGCCCCATGCAGCTGATTTCATGTGGGAGGAGCTGATGATACCTTTTCCACCGGAGTGGGAGGGGATGAAGGCAGCCACACTTTTTGTCTGTGCACATCTGGATGCTTTAAGAGAGGAGTCACCAGCTCCAACACCCAAAACTGGGGGGTTCTGACCCCCAACAGCTGCACTAAGCAGGTTTTGACTTCCCTGACCTACACCTTGCTCCTGACAGAAAGAGAATTTGACATGTCAGGATGCTTAGCAGGATTTAAAATAATAAATTAAAAATAAAAAAATACACATCGCAATTGTTTCCTCCAATTCCCTTATCACCCTATACCCATCTGTCATTAAATTAAAAATAAAAAATACACATTGCAATTGTTTCCTCCAATTCCCTTATCACCCTATACCCATCTGTCATCACATCTTGGGACATATGTTTGGGAAATCTGGCAGCATCTGGCCGTGGGTTCAATTTTTTTGCTTTGTGTCTGAACAGGTAACACAGACCCAGAAAGGAAACCCCCCCCAGACACACAGGGAAGGGCTGTTCTCGAAAGCAGGTCAGTTTCTAAATGTATGTAAACAAAAGTACCCCCAGAAAAACAAAAGTGATTTGACTGTAATTATCCACTCAGCAACAGGCAAGAAGAACAGAGGCCCCAATGCTGCCAAGTTTTAAGTACATATTTAACTTTAATCACAAGTAGTCTCGCTGTGCGATGTCTCTAAATGCCTGCCAAAAAAGGGCCAGATTAACAAGGGAATTAAGGTATTTTTTTTTTTAATCATTTTAGAGGTGCCATTAGTTCGGATAGCAAACATTAGATTTTTTTTTTTTCCTCCACAACCGAATACCTTGGCAAATTCCAACCTGCACACAACCCTCACGTCATCCAGTCTCAATGGAAATTGACATGGATCCACCACAAACCCACCAGTACAGCCCAGTGCAGTTGGACAACAGGAAATCTGACAGTTTAACGTTACAAGGTTAAGTGATATATTTATTTTAAGGCAGTTTTAGCCATAATAAGGTGACAATCCTAAAGAATTCCATGACAATTGCCGGGGAGGGAAAATGGGGATACTTTAAAAAAAAAAAACCAAAACCACCCTAAAGAACAAAAAGCCCTACACAGCTGTGAGCCGTGGGTATTGCAAGCAGCAGTGGGCAGATGTTTCGGGCCAGACCAGATTACCTGCTCCCCAAAGCCCAAGCCATGAGGAGCCCACACGGAATGTCAGCTCATGAATGACACTTCTGTGATGAACCCAGTTGCCCAACACTGCAAACCACACTGGGGAAGGAATTCTGCTAACTGCAGACTACAGCCGGGCAGAAAGAAAGCTCTGAAGCAAGAGTTGAGCGATAAAAATAAGAAAACAGAAAGAACAGAGAGACAGCTCTTTCACAGAGGCTGCCTCATCATTAATTTAGGGAGCAGAGACACAAGTAGGAATGTATCAGATATCCCAAGGCAAGTAAACACCGGGACTGAACATGTGTATTTCAGGCACTTACAAGACAGACTGGAAGGAGAATTGGGGTCTGTGTCCTGCTCGGACACCCCCTGAAACACTCTCCAGCAGTTCTCCCCGAGAAGCCTTTTGATAATTAACTTATAAGGAAGACCAGGCAGGACATTCTGCTCCCTGGGAAGTATCAAGGGAGAACAGATGTTTCCCGGTCTCAAAGGGACAAACTCAAGAGCAGATCATTTCATACCACTGATTCTTTAGAACATATTAAAAAAAAAAAAAACTCAAAAAAAAATCACAGTAAAGGAAACACACACAAAAAAAAAAGCCAGGGTAAGCAAACTCACTCCGATCAGCCTTTCAATGAAATGAAAATGCTATCAAACACATTTCATTATTAAGTTAATGCTCCATGAGATTGCCATTCCCCAAAAATACATGGCTGATTACAGGCTGCCTTGTGGGGAAGGGACAGAGAAAGCAGTTAATTGGAAAATGCACTTTATTGTAGCTAACCAGCCTCACACATTTCTGTACTCCCACTCACTGCAGAAACATCTCTTTATGAAGTCTGCAGAGCATAATTAGTTTGGTTTTGTTTAAATCTGCATCGCTGTACAGGTAAGCAAAGTCTCCCAGCTCCCTAACTTTTCCCAGAAGTTTTACATCACTAAAACCTGCCTAATTTTACTTTTCAGTGATCTTGCCTCTTCTTCTTGCCCGAAGTGGTTCAGAAAGCGCCTTATGCCCATGCCCAGCGTGTTCCTGGATGTTTAAAAAGACTCTCGGTCCCGAGAGGTTCAACTTGGGAAAGCAGAAATAAATAAATAACCCAACTTTAAGCAGCCGCGGGTCGGGAGCGCCGGCCGGGGCTGTGCAGAGGGCAAATCCCGCACGGCAGAGACCCGGCGGAACACGGATAAATCCCAGGACGACTCAAAAAGGCAAAACTAAAGATAAACAACTCAAAAGCCGGAGCCGCAGCCCCCTTACCTCCGGAGTCCTCTCTGCTGGTTTCTTCCGCAAAGCCTGCTTAATCTTGGGGTCCACCGGAGAGCTCATTCTATTCCCCTGCTCCTCCAGGTCCGTAACTCCCGGGAAATGGCTGGCGGGGGGCGATGCCTCCGGGCGGGCCGGGAACACCCGGACACCACAACGACGCGGGGCGAGCGGCCGAGCCTCCCCCGCCCGGTCAGCGCC